AATTATTTACTTTGGAGTTGACTTCTCTAAAGTAAACATAATTCACTTTAGATAATAAAGTAAAATAATAATTGTTTATTAAAAAATTATTATACATATATTTAATTTTATCACAATTATCAACCATAATTTTTTTAATTAACAATTGTGAGTACATTTTATTATTTAAAATACACCCTTTTCCTTTAAAGGAATTAAATGATCTTCTTTATGATTAAGTTTTAAACTTACGATTTTATGAGGATTAATTGAATATTAATTAAGAAAGGATAAAAGAAAAAAAAATAGAATAGACGAATTAACTAGTCAGAAATTATTTCAGCTTGATTAATAGTATGCAACTCGTTAAATAGTCGGCCAAAGTTTTGTTGTTCATATTAAAGTTATCCTATTGAATTAGCTGAATATTAATATTATGATTTTAAAGATAATTCAAGTTGACTCACATCTTATAGTTTCAGATTTTATTAAGTGTAATAGTGATGGTGTAGTGTAGGATTGTTTAGGACTTATTGTTAGTGGAGACATTTTTCACGACTCTAGTGGAGCATTTCTTGGTGGCTTCTTCACTTATATTGATATTAAATCTACTATTTTTTGTTAAACTAATGATTGTTATTGTGGGCATTGAAAAACCACATGAAATGGGCTCATATAACCTTTGTTGGAGTGTGATTCTACCCTTGTTTTTATCAATTTTTAAGGATACATCTTTAGTTTCCTGAAAGATTTGAAATAAGTAATTGCATTGTTGACATATTTGTTTTACTATGTATTTTTTGTCTCTCACATTTATCAGGAATAAAATTCTTGTATGAATAGCCTAGCTAGTTGTGGGTTTCATCATAGGCTATGCTAGCTAATGTATAAATGGTGGGATTCTTCCCCTAGGTTTTATAGTGATAATTTTTTTTTATAATTGTTGTGATCTATTTTTTAGGTTTTTTGTTAATTCTTATTTATGAATTTTGCCTAGTCCCCTTATATTGTTTTTTTGTTTGTTTTTTTTCCTCTCTTATCCTTTTATATATATATATATATATATATGCTACAAATGATTGTTAGATATTGAAGTTTCAATGTTGTTGAAATCTCATTATTCTATAGTGATAGAAGTTATACCTTATAAATTTTTATTTTAAAACAACATTATGGCCTCTTAAATTGGATCTATTCAACGAGACATTGGTGTATATTTCAAACGCAAACACAAACTGGAAGGTTAAAATATTCTAATTTTATAATTTTTTAATATATTTTAAATAAAATAAAATATATGTTAAAATAAGTGTGTTTGAGTGTTCCGTGCTAAAGGAGGTTAAGAAACACTTCACCATGGACAAAGTGTCTTCATCATTTCTTTCAATTTCACGCTTAAATTTTTTTATCATACACCACTTTTCACTAGCAGTTTAAATTACCTTATTTAATTACATTTTAAAACCTAAAAACAACTTTTTAAAATAAAATTCAAACATTGCCTATTCATTCAAACTATTACGTTTGCAGCAGAATCCACGGATGAATTTCTAAGTTTGATTATACTGCTCATTATTTACCTTTATCAGAACTCAGATGAGAAGTTTTTTCGATATACTGTCTACCAGACAACCACATTTCTTTTATTTAATACGAGAGAAAAAGAGTCATTTTGCTGTTCTGTGTATTCTTTTAGATTGATCAGTAATATTAATTAAAAGATTATCTATTTTTCTGTTCTGTGTATTTTTTAAGGTTGATCAGTAACAGTAATTAAAAGATTATCTATTAGAGAGACTAAGAGATTTTTGGACAGTTATAAGAGTAGAATGAGATTAAAAAAAAATTGTACACCAAAATTATCTCATAAAATTAATAAAAAAAAACTTACAAATTACATAAAAGAAAATATGAAAAACAATTATAAAAAGAAGTATTATATTTATTAATCATATAAATCACTATTCATATAGTCACACATACTCTATAGTGATACAGTATTTATTATCAAAAAATTACTTTTATCTATACTAGCGATATAATATATATTAGTATATTATTAAAAAAATTATATAAATAAGCTATAATGATATATAATATATGTTATTAAATTTTATTTAAAGTCAACATTAGAATTATATGTAATTATATGTCAAATAAATTTATATTTATATATTCTATATTTATATTGACATTTTTATATTATTGTATATAATATTTTTTTAGTTAATTTAGGAAGATGAGAACATTTTTTTGCATATATTTATTTTTGATGAATAATGATTTTTAAAGAAAGAGAAATATTAAAGATTTGAGAGTAAGTAGCTGTATAAATTAGATGGAGGTTGGGTGTTTTTTTTTAATATGATGAAATAGTGATTTTAAAAAATTATTAAAACTAGATTATAAAGTGTGTCGTATGAATTTAGAAGTAAAAGTATTGAATAGAAATGAAGATTAAAAAAATTATTATAAGAAAGTATCAGTTTTATATATAGATTAAAATTAAAAACATATATAAAATTATTAGTGGAATTTCATTTAAATAAAATTTTAATTAATAAAAAAACAGCATTTATTAATTGTTGAGTAGACAGGGTCGTAGAGCTCAACTTTATTTCTGACCGTTGTGTATTTATTTAGTGCAACTTGTGTCTTCAATGGCCATTGACTTTGACTCTCTATCCTTCAAGAATTAGGCCTCACTAAAAGTCTAAAAAACATAAATAAGAGTACATTTATGTTTTTTTTAATAATTTTAATAGGTTAAAATGATGCTATATTTTAAATCAACACTAATTAATTATATTTTTACATATAGGATTCAAACTCTTTGCCCTTAAATAGTAATTACAAAAAAGATCTCTGCCAACAAATAGTAATTATAAGTAAATTTAAAACTATTTGGCAGATACATTTGCAATGATGCAATCGAATTTAGGAATAAACTCGTCCGAGATTAATTTTTTACGCTGACCACATTGGGGATTTAATGCTTATACCAAATGCCTACGTGCATTAATAAGCAGACCAAGTCATCATCAAAAGTCCAAAAAAATAGGTGGAGTAACGTTTGATGTTCTCTCATTTATTTTTTAAATATATTATCAAATCATTATATTTTTAATGAATTCAAAATGCAGTTTAAAACGATGTTTTTTAAACACAAAATTGGAATAACAAAAAGTTGTTTGGAAACAAAAATGTACATAAAAATAAGCATAACTAAATACAATATTGTATATGACACAATTTTTTTTTATAACAAAACTATTTATCAAAATACGTATTTTAAAAAGTAAGAGTGAGATTAAAAAAAAAGTAGGAGTTTGGGTGTGTGAATAACAAGAATTTCTAAAATGTAAAAGTAAATAAAAAAAATAAGCATAACTATATTCAAGGTTAAATATGACACAAATTTTTATAATGAAAATATTTATTAAGAGTAAGAGTGTGTGCGACAAAAAATGTTTAGAAAAATAATGAAGATAACTATATACAATATTATGAATGTGGTTAATAAACCTACTAATTTATAAGTTTGTTGGAAGCTTATAAATTCTCTAAAACCTTAAAAGTAATAAGAAATGAATTAAAAATTTGAAAATTTATAAATTAACTGATTAAATTAAAATTTATTTAATAAAATTAGTTGATAATATAATTTTTCTTTTGACACCTGTAAGTTAGTTAATTATCTAAAATAACATATATTAATTACTTAAGAGTCAGAGAATCACTAGTAAGGTAAATGGGAGAGATTTGACATTCATAGTAATGTTATCCAATTAGAACAATATTCCTCTTAGTTGAAGATATGTGGTCGACAACGAAAATTAAAAAGGATAAAAACAAATTTTGAATAAATTATTAAAGATACAAAAATCTAAAAAATTACAAATTACAAGTTACTTCAACTATTTTATTTAAATAAACTATAAATTTTAAAAAAATTGTTAAACAAATTTATTTTAATTACACTAGTTTATAAGTTTGTCAAAAGAATTTATAATTAAGTTCTTTAGATATCGCATTAAACACTTTATATATGACATTTTTTTAATAATGAAATATTTATTAACAATAAAATATATCAATACATATTCTCAAATTCGAAATAAATGAAGAAAAAGGTTATTAATTTGAAAATAAGTATTATTTTAAACTTTTCTATCATGAATCCAAAGTTATCAAATGTATAATTAATAATATTATAATAATTATCAGATGTATAATTAATAATATTCAAAATCAACTTTTGTTTGGCTAGGTAAATTTATTAAATATGAGATACTTAACTTAATTTAGATATAATAAAATAAAATTATGTTAAAAAGTTAATTTTAGTAAAAAAATTATTTACAAATTTTAACAATTATTCTAAACATATAGTTTTATTTAAAATAGCTAAAACAGTGAGTTAATCTTTCTTAATCATGCTATGAAGCTAGTGGGTACCTATTATTTCTTGTAACATAAGCGTATTTTTATTTTTATTTTGATATTTAAGAATTCAACTCCATATTAATGAAATTTATAGAGCAAGATCTTTTACTATGCGAAACTTATTCAAATAAATTTTGTACTATTTTCTTTAAGAAAATGATTAGTTATTTGAATTTTCTTCCTGTCATAACCCAAAAGTACAATTTCTTTTTGTCATAACACAAAACAACAATTTCTTCGAAGTTCGTGTCCAGCAAAACACGGCTACTTTCATCTGGGGTTGGCAAATTGTAATTTATGATTACGATTGAACTAATCCTTAGTGTATGTTATACCTTTTTCAGTTTGGCATGATGAATCTTGCGGCAACCTTGTGGAAAATGGCCCCAGGTGTCCAAAACCAACGGAAGTAAAAAACAACACAACAGTTAAGGCTTGCACAGTCCGACCGCGTATCCTCGTAACTACGTAGTCCAACATCAACGCAAGCCATTACTCATCCAACGACAAAATCAAACACCTTTGGAGTCAAACTCTCTATAAATACCCCTCACGCTTCTCACAACTCACATCTTCAAACTATTACTCTCGACTTCTCTTCTCTTCCTTCTCCCTTACACAAACTCAAGAGAACACTGATTGAAATTTGAAACCAACACGCATCATTATTACTTGCTTCATCACTTTTCCTTTGATCAAACAAAATGCCAAGAAAAGGAATGAGAAGCATTTTCTTCAAACCATCGCCTCCTCCACCCGCCACGTCATCACTACCACCTCCCTCCCCTCTCCGCACATTCTCGGACTCTATAATGGAAGAAAACATTCAAACCGCAGAGTCTCTCATAACCAAATGGGACGATTCCAACGCTAATTACCGAACTAAATTCCCAATCCCTCTTTTCAGCGGCCCGCGCCACGAAGCCAAACAGTACCTAAACGCGGTGAAGGGACTACAGGCCGCTATGCAACACCTCGTCGCACAGGATTCCTCCTCCACCACCCTCGTTCGCGCTCAGTTTCTGATGCAACTCGCGATGAAGACGCTGCAGAAAGAGTTCTACCAGATTCTATCCTCCAACAGAGACCACCTCGATCCCGAAACCGTCTCCACGCGCTCCTCCGTCGACCGCCGGAGCAGCGTCTCCGACTATGTCTCCGATTACGACGACGAAATCTCAATCTCGATCTCCGAGGACGAGTATCGTGTCTCTGAGACGGAGAGAGTTTCCATGCTCGCTATGGACGATTTGAAGGCAATTGCGGAGTGCATGATTTCCTCTGGCTACGGAAAAGAGTGCGTCAAGGTTTACATCATCATGAGAAAATCGATCGTCGATGAAGCACTGTACCATCTCGGAATGGAACGGTTGAGCTTCTCTCAGGTTCAGAAGCTGGATTGGGAGGTTCTCGAGTTGAAGATCAAGAGCTGGCTAAAGGCCGCGAAAGTCGCCGTCGGAACTCTCTTCCACGGCGAGTGGATCCTCTGCGACCATGTTTTCGGCGCGGACTCGGGAAAGAGAGTCGCGGAATCGTGCTTCGCGGAAATCGCCAAAGACGGCGCCGCGTCGCTGTTTGGATTCCCGGAGATGGTGGCGAAGTGCAAGAAAACGCCGGAGAAAATGTTCAGGACTCTGGATTTGTACGAAGCGATCTCCGACCACTGGCCGCAAATCGAATCGATATTCTCCTTCGAATCCACGTCGAACATTCGGTTACAGGCCGTTACGTCGATGGTGAAACTCGGCGAGGCCGTTAGGACGATGCTAACGGACTTCGAAACCGCGATTCAGAAGGACGCCTCCAAGAAACCGGCCCCTGGCGGTGGAATCCACCCTCTCACGCGCTACGTGATGAACTACCTCACGTTCCTCGCCGATTACAGCGGCGTGCTGGTCGATATAATCGCCGATTCGCCGCAGTCGCCGTTGCCGGAGTCATACTTCCGCAGCCCGATGCGCGAGGAAAACGCGGCGGCGTCGGAGTTATCGGAGCGAATCGCGTGGATTATTCTCGTGGTGCTGTGCAAGCTCGACGGCAAAGCGGAACTCTACAAGGACGTGGCGCTTTCGTACCTGTTCCTCGCGAATAACACGCAATACGTCGTCGTAAAGGTGCGCAAATCGAACCTAGGGTTCCTTCTCGGCGAGGAGTGGTTGGCGAAGCAAGAAGCGAAGGCTAGAGAGTACGCGTCCAAGTACGAGCGCGTCGGGTGGGGCGCGGTGCTCGCCTCGCTGCCGGAGAATCCCGCGGCGGCGCTGCCGGCGGAGCAGGCTAGGGCCTATTTCGTGAATTTCAACGCTGCGTTTCATGAAGCGTGTAAAAAACAGTTGTCGTGGGTCGTATCCGACCCGAAAATCAGAGAAGAAATCAAAGGGTCGATAGGTTCGAAGGTGGAGCAAAAGTACAGCGAATTCTACGAGAAGAATCGGGTCGGGTCGGAGTCCGTTACGAAGCTTTTACCCGACGATATAGGGAATCACATGTCTAACATTTTGAATGGGAACGGGATTGGAGATTCGAGTGTCTCGTCACATTCTTCGTCAACGACGTCGTCTTCTCATCGCTCTAATCGACGGTGATGTCGTCGAACATCGATGACGCTATATTTTCCCCCATTTTTTTCTTCTTTTTTGTATATTTCAATTAAACGTCGATAAGAAACTGTCCTGGGTGTAGAATGGGACAAGATAGAGAATATTCCAATGTGTAACCTGTTTACTCACTATTACTGTATACAATACACTTTTTTGCTCATTTAATTTGCTTACCGTATGATTTTTATTTTATTTTTTAATTAAACTTTGTGGTGTACTAATTCTGGTGGTTCCATGAAGACCTTAGGAATTAGAAGAATAATATGTCCAAGGAATTCTCTATGATAACGCATTGTTTGTCTGAAAGAGAACGAGTAGGGATATTGAATCAATCAATATATATAAACAGATAATACACTATCAATTAAATTCATGCTAATTATAAAAAAAAAATGTTAGATACGCTGGATTATGTGAAGAAGTTAAATGAAAATTTAGTGGTTTTTGCACATATAATTTTGAAAATCTATCATTAATTTTTATCAAAATATAAATTTAGGTTATATACTATTGTTTTAATATATTATTAACATTTTAACTTCTACAAATACATGGAGGAAGTATTTTTTATATAAATATTTGATTATATTAATTGAAGTCATTTTCTATTATATTCTTTTTAAAAATCAAATTAATGTAGATATTTCAACTTTTGTTTCAGTTAAGGGTATCTCCAGCGTATAACATACTTAAGAATTGATACAATTATCTATTGTGTTGAACTTCGTTAGTATATAATTAATTTTCTTCTATATATATAGACATGGTCTTGAAAAAAAATTATATAATTACAGCTCTTCAATTTCTCTCATTATCTTTCATTTAGTGATATAAATATCAACTCTGTGAACTAAGCATAAAAAAAAACACTTAATACCTCCATGTATTTTTAATTAAATAAAAAAAAATTAAATAATGATTAGTGATTAATAATTGAAGACAGTTTTTGTATAGTCATAAAGAATAATCTGACATATAATATAAAAGTTATAAAGACTAAGTAATTTAAAAAATTGTATGCAGCAAAAAGAAATATCTCTTTATTATTTTATTTTTTTAGGGAAATCTCTTTATTATTATTAATATAGATAAAACTGTCTAATCTCTATCTTTCTTTATTTTTGTCGTAATAGAGTCTCTATAATTATTCAGATTTCTTCTCAAATGTATGTCTCTTACATAAAAACATATTCATTTGTCGACGGTTTTAGTTATAAAGAAAAAATAATGTAATCCCAAGATTCCCAACACGCATCAAATATAAGAAGCCTCAACCTTACAAAATGACATGTTTAAACAGATGTCTCTTGTTCTTTACATTTATTTTTTTCTGCCCTTCGTCATTGCATTCTACTACCCAAAGGCCCATAAAAAGTATTACCTAAAGGCCCAAATAAAGTTACAATCTCGTTTTTTTATTTTTTGTCTTGGTTCCAATCTCTCCAAATAAGGTCGAGATTATCCAATGGGCAGGCTGGTTAGATGACGAAATGTTTTTTTTTTAATTATTATTATTATTATTATATTATTATTATTATTATTATTATTTAGATGTGGTTCATTAACATTTAAAGTTTAGATGGAGCGCATGTATAGTGTTTATCTTTTACCCAAACATGGATGAGCATAGGCCTAATCTACAAACATTTCGGGTGCAAATGGAAGCATTGAATTATTGAAATATAGACAAACATTGAGAGAACATTATTGGTACGGTTCCTTTATGGCCCAATAATTTAATTTGCATTATCCTTCTGTTTTAGTCCTTTATGGCCCAATTATTTATTTTGCATTATCCTTCCTAGGAAGAAGAGCATGACGATGAAGATAAATTTTGAATTTTTCATCTTTAAATTTCTTAACAGATCACCACGAAACCTCAACAAATTGCATTAATAAATGCATCATTTTATCTTCCCAAACATATGACACAATGACAGTATTGGGCTGGTGCATTTGATATATGCTAATACGTAAGTCTGTGTATTTGAATATTTATTTTTATATAATTACAATCCATGATAAATAAAAGTTAAAAAATACTTTTTATTTATAGATTATATTTTAGATTTATAATAAATAATCTCAATTGTGATGTAAGGTTACTTTAAAATTGAAATGAATAGTCAGTTAAGAAAAACCAAATATATAGATAGATAAAGATAAAATGATGATAGTTCAATATAATTTAGAGAAATGCTTGTCTTACTGCTCGCAGGGATATTGCGTAAAATGCACTGCATAAGAATAAAGGAAATGCAGTTACAAAAAAAAAAAAGAACAAAGGAAATGAAGTTTTAAAAATGCTTAATGGGAGACAGAGGAAATTAAGGCATTCATTTTCTAAAATGAGGATTTCAAATTTTTTTTTTATAATATAAGATTACATTAGTTATGATTTTACAATGATATACTTTGATAGAGCATTTCAAAGTGAAAATATATTTGTACCCAGTATATAAATTGATATAATTTATAATGCATGACAATATTAAATTGATCACACTTTTTTTTAAATAGATAGGATTTAGATCCTCTAAAATAAAGGGATGTTGTTTAGGTGCTCCAAAATTTCTTCTAGATTTGAACACTGTCATATCTAAGTTACATTACAACTTACTCCTTTCTGCGAGCTAGTTTCCACTCATCAAGGCTCCTTCTAGCTTTATGAACAATCTCATTTATTATGAACTAAATGTAACATGTATGATAATGGAGAGCTCTGGAGAGAAAGGAAGCATATAACGTTCAATATTATTGATCAACAAACTTGTGCATAACAGAGACAACAAGGGTATTTATACAAAAAGATAAAACAGAAAGCATAACAGAATTGGTTACAAAGTAACCCTGATAAAAGTAAAATAGTTATGGTAAAACTAACTATAGTAAAATTGACTATAGCTAAGACCCCCCTGCAAGCTGGGAATGGATGTTTGATATGCCCAGCTTGGAACAAAAATGGCGGAAATCAGCAGGAGGCAAAGGCTTTGTGTATATGTCAGCCAATTGAAGAGATGATGAAACAGGTAGAAGTTTAAGTAAACCAGAATTGAGCTTTTCACGAACAATATGACAGTCAATTTCAATATGCTTGGTTCTCTCATGAAAAATGGGATTGGCAGCTATATGAAGAGCAGAACGACTGTCACAATAAAGTAAAGCTGGTTTATTAAAAGGAACTTGAAAATCTTGAAGCAAAAGAGTCAGCCACTGAATTTCACAAGTTGTAGAGGCAAGAGCACGATATTCTGCTTCAGAGGAGCTTCAAGAAACCGTAGCTTGTTTCTTGGACTTCCATGAAATGAGAGAAGAACCAAGATAAACCGCAAAACCAGTCACAGACCGACGAGTATCATGGCAACCAGCCCAATCAGAATCACTGAAGGCCTTGATCTGAGGATGACTATTGTTAGAGAAAAATATACCACATTCAGGTGCATTCTTGAGATATCGAAAAATGCGAAAAGCTGCTTACTGATGAGCAGATGTTGGAGAATCAACAAATTGACTTAAATGTTGGACAACATAAGAGATGTCAGGACGAGTATTAGTGAGGTAAATCAATCTGCCAATTAATCGACGATACGGAGTAGGATCAGGAAGAATAGTACCAAATTTTTTATGTAACTTGGTGCAGTAGTCAATCAGAGTGTTAACAGGTTTAGCACCCAATAAACCAGTATCAGTAAGGATATCAAGGGTATACTTGCGTTGACAAACGGAAATTCCAGTGTTGTTTCGGGCAACCTCGAATCCAAGAAAGTATCTTAAGTTGCCAAGATCTTTGATGTGAAACGTGGTATCAAGAAGATGAGTGATGGAGTGAATCTCAAAAATATTATTGCCAGCAAGGAGAATGTCGTCAACATAGACCAATAAAGCAGTGAACAAAGAATTATTTGACCATTTAAGAAAAAGAGAATGATCAGACTGAGATTGCGTGTAGCCATGAGAAACAAGGAATGAAGACAAACGAGCATACCATTGACGACTTGCTTGCTTCAAACCATAAAGAGATTTTTGAAGACGACAAACCTATCCAGGGAGTGAAGGAGTGATACCCGGAGGAAGTTGCATGTAAACCTCCTCATGAAGAATGTCATGGAGAAAAGCATTGTTAACATCGAGCTGTTTAAGATGCCAATTGTTCATAGCTGCAAGGGCAAGAATTAATCTGACAGTAGTGAGCTTTGCAACAAGAGAATAAGTGTCTATAAAACCAAGACCTTCCATTTGAGTGTAACCCTTAGCAACCAAGCGAGCCTTGTAACGTTCGATGGACCCATCAGCTCGATGTTTGATTTTATAAACCCAATGACAACCAATAGTTGTCTTGTGAGGAGGAAGAGCAGTCAAAACCCATGTATAATTTGCCTCTAGAGTAGATATCTCCTCATGCATTGCCTTAAGCCAACAGTCATGCTTAGAAGCCTTTTTATAAGATTTGGGTTCAGAAACATAGGTAATAGACATAACAAAATGATAAAAAGAAGGAGACAGTTTAGCATATGACAATACCTGAGATAAGGGATATCGAATACCTGGATGATGATTGGTGTTAGTTAAGGTAAAAGCTGTGTGAAAATCTTTAAGAAAAGTTGGTTGTCTACTGGGTCGTTGTGAACGACAAAGAGGAACAAGATTAGAAGGAGAAGGAGCATCAACAATAGGTGAAACAACTGGTGTAGTGGGTGAAATGGAAGATTCATGGGTGTCATATAAAAGATTCATGGGTGTCATATAAAAGAGGAGGCAAGTTAGATGAAATGAATTCAGGGGTGGTATCAGATTGAGAAATATGGTGAATGTGATAGTAAGGAAAACAATCCTCATGAAAAACAATGTTACGATAAATCTCTATGTTTCTTGAGTGTAAATTATACACAAGATAACCCTTGGTGTGAGGTTTAAAACCAAGAAAAATGCAAGGGTTAGCACGTGGATCAAGTTTTTTGCGATGAGCAGTTATAGTAGAAATATAACAAAGACAACCAAAAACTTTGAGTGAAGAAAGATCACAAAGATGTGTATAAAGAAGTTCATATGGTGTCTTATTTTTTAAAAAAGGAGTTGGCAAACAATTGATAATGAAAGTAGCATGTAAAACAGCAAAGGACCAAAATGTGGGAGGTAAATGAGATTGAAAAAAAAGAGCACGAGTAACATTTAAAAGATGTTGATGTTTACGTTCCACAATACCATTTTGTTGAGGTGTCTCAATGCAATTAGTTTGATGTATTATGCCTGTGGAAGCAAAAAATTGATTCATAAGAAACTCGACTCCATTATCTGTTCTAATGATTTTAACCTTGAATTCAAATTATTTTTCTGCCTGTGTAATAAAATTCTGTAAAATTTGACGAGTTTCAGATTTAGAAACCATTAGAAAAACCCAAGTGTAACGAGAATAATCGTCAACTATTGTTAAAAAATATTGATGACCTTGAAAAGAAATTTTGGCACAAAGGCCCCATATATCAACATGTAAAAGAGCAAGAGGTTGAGAAGCATGTGAATCACTTTTGGAAAAAGGAAGTTTGCGTTGTTTAGCGTAATGGCAAGTATTACATATAAAATTTTTGTCACTTACAAGAGAAGGATAAGAATCTTTCATAAGAAGCATGCGGTTATGAGAAATATGTACTGTTCTAAAATGTCAAAGGTCAATAGGCAACTTATTACAAGATGGTTGTATAACAGTAGAACAAACAGAGGTATGATTTGCAGAAATGGTGTTGTCTAAGGATGGTGGTGAAACAACCAATTTGTATAAGCCAGCAACAACATCAACTGTACCAATCATCATCTTGGTGTTCATGTCCTATATCAAACATTTATTAGAAGAAAAGGTTAGTATGCAATTAAGAGAAGAAACGAGCTTGGAAATGGAAATCAGATTGAAAGTGAAAGATGGAATGTAGAGAACATCAGAAAGAAATAATGTCTCAGAAAATTTTACAAGACCCGAGTGTGTGGCGAAAACTTCTTGACCATTTGGTAAACGAACAACTATAGGTTTAATGGAAGAATAAGAAGTGAAGTAGGCTAAGGAAGAAGATAGATGATCTGTAGCGCCAGAATCCAGAAACCATGATGCATTGTGAATTGAATTTAAGGAGCAAATAAAGGGGAGAACATTACCTACGGTGGAAGAATTATTAGTGGGACATGGAGAGAAAGTACCAATTTGATTGACACAAGGAGTGGAAGATGAAGAGGAATCATTGCTTGGCTGTTGTATTAAGGCAAGCAAGGCTTGATATTGTTGAGATGTGAAGCGTAGACCATGAGTTTCTTGTTTTTGTTGATCAGAAGTGACATGTACATCACCAGTCACTGAGCTGTTCACATGTGTATTCTGGTTATGAAATTTGTGACCCGGAGGAAAACCATGTTTTCTGTAACACACATCAATCGTGTGTCCAAGTTTGCCACAATGAGTGCAAGATTTTGTGCCACGATTGGATGTTACCTTATTTCCAGCTCCATTTGAGGCAAATTCATGCTTCCTATAACAAACACTTTCGGTATAACCAATTTTACCACAAAATTTGCAGGATGATGTATTGGAACTAACAACATTGATTAATCCTTTCGATTCAAGATTCAGTGTACTGAGAATACCATCATTTCTAATAAATTGTCGTTCCTGTTGCACAATATAGGAAAAGACCTTCGAAATCGGTGGTAATGGGTCCATCATCAGAATATGAGATTTGACTTGGTTATATTGGTCATTAAGACCATGTAAGAACTGCCTGATCTGATCCTGTTGTTTCCGTTCCAGAACACTAGAAAGAGCTTTACAAGAACATTGTGGTGAGCATGAACAAATCGGATTTGGTCTAAAATTCTCAAGTTCATCCCAAATTATGCGTAGCTTTGTGAAGAAATCGGTTACAGAAATGTCACCTTGCTTGATGGAAGAAGCTTGATGCTGTAAATCTGAGATGCGTAGTAAATCTCCTTGCGAATATCGTGACTTCAAATCTCTCCATATGTCGATAGCTTTGTCCATCCATAAGATACTTTGCCTTATTAAAACTGAAACAGAATGCACGATCCATGAAACGACCATGTTATTGCACCTTCGCCAAGCGATGTAGAGAGAATTGGTTCGCAATGGTTCGGTGAGGGTTCCATCAACGAATTTGAGTTTATTCTTGGCACTCAAATCTGTTAACATTGATCTACTCCATGAGTTGTAGTTTGATGAATCCAACACTGGTGAGACGAGAGCAATGGCAGGACTCTCACTCGGATGTAAGTAATAAGGGCTATGCATATGAACTATTTGATCATAATCTCCACTCATTGTAGAAAGAAAAGGAAGAACAGATGAAGAAGAGAAAGATGCGCACCAGAGCCCTTCAAAATAAGAGCTATGATACCATATTATGAACCAAATGTAACATGTATGATAATGGAGAGCTCTGGAGAGAAAGGAAGCATATAACGCTCAATATTATTGATCAACAAAAACTTGTGCATAACAGAGACAGCAAGGGTATTTATACAAAAAGATAAAACAAAAAGCATAATTGAACTGGTTACAAAGTAACCCTGATAAAAATAAAATAGCTATGGTAAAACTAACTATAGTAAAATTGACTATAGCTAAGATCATTCACATCCCAATCCATCTACAGCTGCATCAACGACCCTACATTTTAAAAACATGTAAAAATTTCGCATTGTTAACATTGAAATTTGAAGTTTGAAATCCTAAAATTTCAAGTTTTGTAAAAAGAAAGATAAAAGATCAATTTTTGTTGTTTACAGTAATTCTACCTGAGTCGAATGTGTAATTCAAATAAACATAAGGTATGTATCTCTCAATTGAGGCTTCTTTCACTTCTTGAGTTGCTCTATTGTGTTCAAAATATATAGAAGAATAATTATCTTAAATCATAGTGTATTTAGAAATATTTTTTAAACAAAAATATTTCTAAGAATTATTATCACCCTCATATATTTGATTTCGTGAATTGTTTATCTTTTTTATTTACTACTTTAATATTTATTTATATATTAAATTTTAATATTTTAAAATCAACAAATAGTTAAAAATAACCCTATTTGAAAATATAATATTTTATTATAAATCTAAATTTTAATTTATATGTAAAATAATATTTATTATAAATTTTAATCATATAAAAATATTTATTTATCATAAATTTTAATCATATAAAATTAATTTTTTATCATGTACATTCACAAACTAAAAATTAAAATAAGTTCTAAAATTTCCTCTAGTTTTACAAAAATTCATAAAATAAGTGTATTGTGGTTTGGGCCGGCCCAGTTCCATATAGTTCAAATTAAAGATACTCTTTGAAAGAGCCACGCTATCGCACGCAGATTTGGGCTTTAAAACAGACTGCTCAATTACTGGGTTAATCACATAAGCATTAGCTTGGCCCAGTTTTTATGCCTAATTTTTTCTTTCCTGCTATACTGCGCAAGTTGGAATGATTTTTATTATTAGTTGGAATGAATTTAACTTTGATTCATTGTTGCTTTCATCATTTCATTACAATTTTTTTCATTTATCTGTATTATTTTAAAATATTGAGTAACTATCATCACAATCATAATATAAATATTCTAACAATGTGAAAACATATAATTGAATGATAATATGAAAAAAATTATTAAAATTAGTAAATGGAATTTTAAATTAAAACTTACTCATTCTCATTAAAAAAATATTCTAAAATATTATCTCAATATTTAGTGGTGTTATTACAAGGGAATTGAAAAAAAAGGAGCAAATATTCTTGGTGTACAGTCTAATCTTAAACCAATTATAATATTATTTTGAAATCTTGTAATTTTTAAAAATATGTGATGAATCTTTCTGCAAAAGTAATGAATGCAATCCAGCAGTAGTAAGTGGTAACGTTGCTGTCTTATTAAAAGCCAAAAGCTGTATCCTTTATCTTCACCACATCTCCTTCATTGCACAAGCCACAGCTGTCATCACTCATATATCATAATCGTACATTAATAATGCTTATTCATTTTAATTATACACACATGAATCAACTTCATAATAATTTTGTTTATTTATTATGTTGTGAGCACAACAATATTGGTTATCAAGTTCTCACTTTCGGTCTAATTTAAAATAGACAAGTATAATAGTACATTCTTCATAACACAAATTTTATAAATAAGTAAAAATTGTTATAAATTAAGAAGAAGAAAAAAAGAATGAAATTCAGTAAATACAAAGTAAATATCACATTATTTTATATTTCTAATAAATTTTAAATAATAAATTTACGTCGGTTGTAAAAAACCGACGTAAATTTACGTCGGGTGTAAGAAAATTAAAAAAAAAAAAAAAAACGACTGTAAGCAGAACGGGCTGTTCTGCTTGGAGAACGGCTCGTTCTCCTTGCAGAACGGCCCGTTCTGCAACCCGGACTTGGCTCTCCTCCTTATTTTCTTCTGCTGGTTTTTCCTCTGGATTCTCTTCTCTGTTCTCCTCAGCCTTGGCTTCAGCCACTGGTTGTTCCTTCTCAACATATAAAAAGGAACACACATCATAAGTAGAAGCACTAATTAATGTAGACCAAGTTATAACACTAGCAGCAAGAAAAAAGGTTTCACCAGGAAATATCACCTGTTTTTGCTTCCTCACCCATTTGCCGTATGAATAGAGACTGAAATGTTAGAAAAATTATAAAGAATGAAGGAGTATAGGAGGCGAAGGGATTTCAACGCGCAGGAGAAGAAGTTTTTGAAATGTCTCCAAATCTCCAGCTGCTAGTGACCTTCTTTTAAGGGCAGTCATGTGCATTATTTACATCGGACAAGGGAGGGTCCAACGTAAATTATGCAATCTACGTCGGAGGGTAATTGTGTCCGACGTAGAATGTATAATTTACGTCGGACCTTCCCTTGTCCGACATAAATTAGTTAGCTTTTATTTACGACAATGTCACCGTATATTTATAATATCGTATTTTGGGAGTTCTGACGTAAATGAGGTGACGTAAAATCCTATTTTTGTACTAGTATTAGTACCATGTTACTAACATTATTTTTTTTACAGCTATCAACATTTATCTTAAAAATTATATTACTCTAAGCGAACAGTCAATTAGAAAATAAAAATAAAAATAACGTGTAATTGTGTTGATGTGTATACTTTATGCACTTGCTGTTTGTCAACCACAAACGTATTCAAGCTACAGCTAATTAATTCCTTTAAGAATGTATGTATCCTGTCATTCAGAAAGTAAATAGAATTTTCTTATATATGGTCACTAAAATAAAACTTCCTACCAATTATAAATGTTAAAATCAATAGTATATACTTAAAGAATTCGACTACATTATCATAGTTTTTTGAAATGTTGGGATGAATTTATATGTATTAGAGCTTTATCAACAAAATTGTAAAAGAAACAAAAAAAAATTAAATATATTCTTAATCATTATACAGTAAGCAGTTCTTTATTTTAGTTATTGTAAATTTTTTATTTTATTTTTCATCCTATTAAATTTTGTAAACATTATTTTTACTCCTTGTGAAAAGAGTAAATTTTTATTTTGATTCCTGTAAAATATTTTCTTTTTTAATTTGTATATCTTTAAAATTTAAAATAACTATATTTGGTACTTGTAGATAAATGTTATTTATTTGAAGGACCTATAAAAGAAATTAAAGGCGTCACACGCTAACATGATATTGTAACGACTCACTATGATTTCTATACTTAATGATTCAACTATTAATAATAAAAAAATATTATTACAACTAACTACAATCATGTAAGCAATACTTGAACATACCAGTAATAATATATACTATACATGTATTAAAATTTGCATCAACAATTGACATGACTATACATGTATGTGTATATGTATAGATGAGTTTATTTAAACTTACTTTACTCAATAACTCGTATTCTACATTAAATTTTAATAATTCAATCATTGAATTAAAAGTTTTTAATGTGTAGATCAAGTCTGTAAAGTTTTTTTAAAATAAAAACTATTTATTACTCCATTTCATTAATTCAAATTAATGCATATAATATTTTTATGATTATTTATCAATTTGAATTAAAGAAATGAAGTATCAAATACTTTTCAATTTTTTTTAAAAAAATTACGAACTTAATGTATGTGTTAAGAACTTTTAATTCAACAATTGGACTATTAAAATTTGATATAAAACATGAGTTATTTAGTAGAATAAGTCACTTACTCTTGAAGTAAGTGAATCTCTCATCTCTCTCTTTATATATATATGAGTTAATCACCTATACACTGTCAGTGTAAAGTTTTTTTACACCGGCAACCAATCATATCTTTTAATAGTGACATGTCAGTTGCTTATTTAATAAAATAATAATAAAATAAGCAACTTTAAAAGATATGATTGGTTGCCAGTGTAAAAAACTTTACACTGGCAGTGTAGGGATGATTAACTATATATATATATATATACACATACACACACACATAATAATCCAGTACTAAATGTGTCAACCTAGGGTATCGGTCAAGCAACTATATATGTTACCAACATAAACAACTCATCTAACTTAAGCAATTTATCAACTTGCAACTTTTCAACACAATACAACATGTTCTTCAACTTGAACGACACAACAACACCTTAATCTAACATTTAACAACAAAGCAACTCATCAACTATTGAACATAACATATGAACTACACAGCTCAATCAATATATTATATATATAACACAACAATTATATGTGTCGTTACACATTTAACTAAGAGATATCTTATAACACAAGTGAGCAGTCAAAGTGGCTTGACCTACTGAATCAATAATGCAATCTTTTCATTATGGCTAGATCAACAACCAATTTTTGGATCAAAATCCACAGCAACATGGTTTCTCAAATTTCACCACTTAAACTATGAAAGTCTAATATTACTATTAATATTAGGGTAAAACAGCTTGGGTGTGAGTTTACCACAACATTAGCATGTATAACTAAGCCTCCTAGCTACAAGATTAGTCTACTGACTATCATCTAAATATTATATCTTTTCCAATACTTAGTTAAGAATTTTGGTAAAATCTCTTCATAAAATTAAAATTTAAATTAAAACAAAGGCTTCTAAAGTTTTAGTACCGAAAATTAATCGTCCATTTTTAATATATAAGGAAAAAATAAGTTTATGCTCCCAATGTCAATAATTTTGTATCTAGTTTATTTCCAATTAAATATGACTATTAAGTAATAAGCCTTAATAAATCAACTAACTCTTGATATGTCCTAATCAATTAAAGACATCTTCTTTTTATAGACAATC